CTACAGTTATCTATCACTATATCAACTATTGTTAATTGAACATATGTATCCGGACAATAGTCTGTTTGCTAAAGATTGAAAATGTTATTGGGGGATAACCCCAATATTGATCCCAACACTGTCCTAATCCCAATCTTGATCCCAACCCCACCCTAAATCTTAATCCCTATCCTGACCCTATTTTATCCCCAAACCTATAAAACTCAATAAAACCTTTAAAAAAAGACATTTGGTAATGTTTCCTGGTAATTTATGACTCAAGAACTAAAAACAATGAACTTTGGACAAAACTTTATAAATATGATTGAAACAATATACAAACAAACAGCAAAAGTAATTGTAAATGGAGACTATACAGAGAATTTTGAGATAAGAAAAGGTACAAAACAAGGATGTCCACTATCTCCATTGTTATTTATCCTAACTTTGGAAGCTTTAAATAGAAATATTAGGCAAGATACGGAAATTAAAGGACTAGAAAAAAGGGTGAAACTTACAAACTGCAAGCATTTGCAGATGACTTAGTATTCATCCTAGAACAGTGGTGGCGAACCTATGGCATGGGTGCCAGAGGCGGCACTCAGAGCCCTTTCTGTGAGCACACGCGCCATCACCCCAGTCCTAGGCCTTCAGCTGGGTTTTATAAAACCTTTTCACTTTAGTCCTCCACCGCCGCGTACAAAAAAAAAAGAAGGTTCAATCAATCAGTTAATTTCAACTTCTTGGGGGGGGGGGAGATCTTGTAAAGTTGGAATTGATTGATTGAACCTTTTAGTCCCACCCAGTCTGCTGTTACCATTGAAGCCACATCCACCCAATGGCCATGCCCACCCAGCACCCAACGATGCATAAGTGGGTTTTGGATTGCAGTTTGGGCACTCAGTCTCTAAAAGGTTCACCATCACTGTCCTAGAAGAACCTTTAGAAATGATTCCTAAATTATTGAAAAAGATAAAACAGTATAGAGAGATAGCAGGACTGGAAATAAACAGAGAAAAAACTAAAGTGATAGTAAAAAATCTCACAGATAAACAAACAAAACCCCAAATGTCATAAAAATTGAGTTACAAATAGTCAAAAAGGTTAAATACTTGGGAATATATCTAACAGCAAGATGTTCAACGATAAAAGAAGATAACTATATAAAATTACTGAATCAAATAAAACTGGACCTGGAAAAATAGAAAACTTGTAATTGTCGATGTTAGGAAGAATTGCTATGGTAAAAAATGAATATATTACCAAAAATATTGTTTTTATTCCAAACGATACCTATAAAACTAGAGAAATTTTTTTGAAGATTTAAATTCACTGATTTTGAAATTTATTTGGCAAGGAAAGAAAGCTAGAATCAAACTGAAAATGTTACAAGATGCTAAGGAAAATAGAGGTTTTGGCTTGCCAGAATGGGTTTTATATTATCAAGCATCTGTACTAACATGGGTAAAAGAATGGATAACTCTTAGAAATAAAAGTTTGTTATATTTGGAGGGTCATGATTTACAACTTGGTTGACACGCTTTCTTATGGTATGGAAAAAATAAAATTCATAAGTATTTTCAAAATCACTATATAAGAAACGTATTATTACTAATATGGGAAAAAATAAAATGTAAAATATACTTGAAAATTCCAGGATGGCTTTCAATAATGGAAGCATCTGTACATCCAAACTTAGTTTCAAGAAAATATGGACGTATAGAGATATTCTAAATTCTGAAGGGAATTTAAAATCTAAACAGGAGATGGAAAATCAGGGTATTGATCTATCATGGTGGGCATTTTTACAAATGCAAGTTAGATACAATAAAGATGTTAAACTGTACGGATTTTATAAAGAGCAGACCTTGTTTGATTTGATATTATGAGAAATTAAGAAAACCTATAACTTTTTTTGAATTTGAAAATGGAAAATGAACAAGTTAAAGAAACAATGATAACATGGGGAAAGAATTTTGGATATAATATAGATTTAGAAAAATGGCAAAATTTATGGGAAAGAAATTATAAATTGACAATGTCAACTTCTTACAAAGAAAATCCATATAAAATGTTTTATAGATGGCCATCAGCAAGATTAGCAAAAATGTTTAAAAATATGTCAGATAGATGTTAGAAATGCAAACACAACTCAGGTACTTATTATCATGTATGGTGGACATGTGTTAAAGCAAAGAGGTATTGGACAAAAATACATACTTGGCTAGAAAAGATGTTGGGAAAACATATAGATTTTAAACCTGAACTTTTTTATTAGGTATAACGCCAGAAAAGATTGATAAAAAAGTAAATACTTGATTCTACATGTGATAACACAGGCAGGAATCATATTCGTGCAACACTGGAAAAATGACGAAATACCACCAGAGGAAGAAATAATTAAAAATATACTAGAATGTGCGGAAATGGACAGACTTACTTTGAGATTGAAAGAAATAGAAGAAACAGAATACTTTCAAACTTGGGATTTATTTTATCAATGGTTGGAGAAAAGAATAAAGTATTAGGAATTAAATGTATATGAATCAATGATAAACTCAGACAACACATTTGTTGAATAAGTACTACTGAATTGTATGAAAAAGTTAATAAAAACTTTATAAAAAAAAGGAATTACAATTATTGGAATCCAGAAGAGCCTTCTCTGCCGCAGCACCTGCCCTTTGGAAAATCCTGCCTCCAGAGTAATATCTGCCCTCAATCTCCTTTACTTCTGTAGGAACCTAAAGACCTGGCTCTACAAGTTGGCCTGGGGACACAATGGGAGAGTTCAACTCTGGAGGTAGCTACTAGATCAGAGGTCCCCAACCTTTTGGGCACCAGGGACCTGCTACTTGGAGAAAGGTTTTTCTGAGGGGGTGCAGTTTTGTGTGCAGCCTGCATCCTGTGGATGGGGCTTTCCTTGTTTGTGTGGACCGGTTGCTGGCATGCTGCAGCCCAGTACTGGTCCATGGACCGGGGGTTGGTAACCCCTGTGCTAGACTGCAGACTCCAACTCCCCACATGCCCATTTTTTTTTACTATTCATATTGATGGGTTTTCTTTGTTTTCTTTATTATATTTTTTATTTTATTGTTCTATTACTTATCTTTACTTTCACTTTGTTTAAACTTCTTTTTTATGTCTTCCTTTTTTATTGTAAGCCACCTAAAATGGCCCTATAGTGACACAAGTGGTAAATAAATTTTAATAATAAGAACAGAAAAGTGGCATGGGAAGATAAAGTATTATATGGCCAGTACATTAAAAAAACAAACAAACAGGTAAATGGCTAAGTGCAGGAAAGTTGAAGAAAGAGACAGAGGAGCTAATTCTGGCTGCACAAGACCAAGCCTTAAGAACAACTGCAAACAAAGCCAGAATTGAGAAGGCAGCAACAGATAAGATAGGAAGTGCCACCTTGGCAAAAAAGCTGAAGTAACAGTTGATGCAAGAAGATTGCGCAGACTGACTACAAACAATGGTATGACAAAGTAGCAACAATGGTGCATTGGAAGATCAGTAAGAAATACCATTTGCCTGCAAACAGGAATTGGTGGAACCATAAAATAGAGAAAGACATAGAAAATGAAGAATCTAAACTGCTCTGGAATTTTAGAATTCAAACATGCAATTGTTGCATGACACCCCAGCTTTAACAATTATCAATAAGAAAGACAAAATCCATGGCCAGATTCCTGAGTTTTTTTTTATAACATGATTGTTTAAACTAAGCATAAAAATAATATTTTAAAATTATTAAATCTTTTATTCTTTCCAATTCAAATGGTTTAGAAAATTCTAGTAATAACAGTACAATAAAAATTGTTTGATGGTAAAGAAATCAATTACTAAAAATAACTTTCCTGATTTTTTTTCATAGTCAGAGAAATCTGATACAAGATATAATGAATCAGAATTAATTATCAAAGCAACTTCATAATATTGCAATAAACAATATAATTACATATGCTCAGCTCTACAGGTGACCACATCACTGTTTGGTATGACACTGAAATTGCTAGTTTAGTTCAGTACTGACTGAATTTATGTAAATAACAAAATTGAATTTGATTTTGTATTTGAATTTGATATTCTAAAAACATTAAGTCATATGCAAAAATCAGACACATGCCATGAATTGTACATAGACACCTAATGGGAGTGAAATAACTTCCCAGGTTACAATCACTTTTGTAAATAAATGTAAATAAATGCTTGAACTGAAAATATTATTAGTGCTCTTGGATAAGAAAATATCCCCTGCAGTTTACTTGAAAAGCAGAGATCCAGGGAATACCTTTATAATCACAAGCATCCTGATTATCATTGCAACAAAGGCTTATAAATAAAAATGTGCCTAGGCCTATAATTTTTTTTAAATGGCCCTTACTAACATTGCTATCCCTCTGGAAATTATTATGGATGAACTGGTATGATAAGACTCATATAATCTTTTTCTTTTCTGCTTATTTTTGCAAATCAAAGTGCACATCAGCATAGAAAAAAAGGAAGGTTCCATATTAGAAATAGTAATAATCAAATGACTTGATGAAGGGGTTCATCTCTCCTTCCTGCTCATTTCATACAATTTTCCTTGAAGATAACTTTCCGTAGTTTGAGGCTAACGTATAGAGGGGATACTAGATAATATATCGCAGAGAGAGAATCAAAAATGTTCTTTCTTTGATAACCTTCCCTGCAATGTCAGCCTTATTTGGTCTCATTATAAGAAGCCTCGCTTTTTCAAATCAAGGCTATCGGTAAACAATATTTAAGCCCGAGGCCAAAAATATCGCTTTACATTTCTCGTTGAAAAAAATATTTTACCATATTCTTGTCCTTTTAAGAAAAATCCAATCTTTATTTTTTTAATCTAATTATTTAGTCAAATACAATAAAATAGCTCATTCTTCACCCAAAGCGATTCCATGTGCAAAAAAAAAAACAAAAACAGGAAGGAATACACAGGCGCGCACAGCGTCCGCTCAACCAAAGCGCCAAAGACGCCTTCAAAAACCGGAACCGGAACTTTCAAAAGCTAACGCCAATATTTCTCAATCTGAGACATGCGGGCTTCAATTTCTAGATAAATTACCCAATCAAATATTAGCCTAGGCCTTGACGATAGGGGGCATACGCATTCTGACCAGCAATATGGCGTCTTTTGCTGGAGCGAAAATGGCTGTTAGGGTCGTCTACGGGCTGCGCTCCCGCTCCTGCCTCGACCTCCTTTGCCGTTCTGGGGGAGCTCGATTCCTTTGTACGCCCACGCCCGCCGGGGGTGTCGAACAAAGCCACAGAGACCCTTCCTGGGTTGGAACCTGGTATGAGACGTTGTCTTCGTCAGTACCTGTCGCGACGGTAGAATCGGGTTTGATAGCTATGCAGGCCGCATCTGGACTGCCCTGGTGGTCCACGGTCTTAGCAGCTACCGCCATCCTGCGCACTGGCCTCACCCTTCCTCTCAGCGTCTTCCAAAAGCGCGTCGTCGCCAGCGTGAGTTCCAAAATGAGGGGTCGTCACTGAGCATCGGCAGAGGGTTCTTGTCCTAATACAATGTGCTTTTATTTACGAAATGTGGAATTAAAGGAATAGGTGATGCTTCCGAGGAAAGTGGGATGCACGTTTTTTACATTGATTGATATTAAATTATGACAGTATATAAATAGGAGAATTTAGATGTGTAGTCCAGATTCTGCTAAGATCTTTATGTACTTATGAAAATCTGAAAGCACAAAGAGGGTGGTATCTACATGATCATTAATCGGATTCTTTTGGATTTGCGTGCCATGTAAGTACAGTTTGAACTCCTGAACTTCTAATGAGTAACATTCAGTTTGCCTCATCTAAAAATAACAGTATCAAATATATGAAGTGATATGGACATTCCGATGCACTGAGATTTATGGAATATATTTAATTTAATTCAATTATAAAAGCAAGGTCTTTAGTCTGAATAATGTCTGTGCGTCTTCCTTTTCCTTTTTTTATTGTGCACAATACTTTTTCTTAGCATACTGTATTCATCATATTTGTCATTTCCTCCACAAGGCCTTCTACTGTTTCTTATTTTGCCTTTTCATTGTACTTTATGATATACACTAAAGAAGGGAAGATAACCTTAACACAAATCTTGTGAAAAATGTCACATGATGTATAATGTAGTGTTGGTACTGACCTAGAAACGAGGAGACTGGATGAAGCATATATCTTTAGAAGATAATACCTGAGAAAGTGTGTACTTTATATAACTAAGACTTCTATATCTTTTCAGCTAGTTAGAAAAGTTGCAGCCTGAAATTGAATACTTAGCCAAACAGCTCCGTTATGAGGTTTCACTTTCTGCAAAGCAATACCATTGGTCTGAAAAGGAGGCTAGGTGAGATCATTTTAATACTCTGTCTAATAATCCCATAAAATACCAATATATGTTTTTCAGTATTTCATATTTGAATTGGTTATCTGAGATTACAAATTTACATACTTGCAAGGTACTTTACTACATCCTATTATTTGTACAGTAATCCTATTGTAAGTCTCACTCTAGGGCAGTGGTTCTCAACCTTTCTAATGCCGTGATCCCATAATACAGTTCCCCATGTTGTGGTGATCCCCAACCACTTATACATCACCGGGTGCCAGGGGTGTGGCCAAATAAAAGGAGGAAAAAATGGTGGACAGCCTTGTTTGGCGACCCCCGTGAAATGGTCATTCGACCCCAAATGGGGTCCCGACCCACAGGTTGAGAACCACTGCTCTAGGGTTTGGCCTCCTTTTCTATATTTTTCTTTCAACTATTTGTATATTTTCTGATATTTTCTTAGATTTTCATAGAAATCTAAGTAAGTTGTTTCTTCTGATCTTTCCACCTTTATTCAAAATATTTTCTTTACACTCCCATTAACTGTTTCCAAATTTGACTATATATATTGTACATATAATGTACAAAATTCATTTGAAGCATTTGTCCAGTTTTTCTGCCAAAAGTTTCTAAGAGTCACTCTCATATCAATGAAAATTAAAGAATGCAATCTCTGCTTTCAGGTATACAATATAGAAAGCATCTCTTTTAAGAAAAAGAGAGTGAAAAATAAGTTTAGTTTCCAAATTTTACAGTATCTGTTCTTACTGTGAACCAGGAATAAAAATAGAATGTCATTAACCATTATTTCTCTATGAATAATTTAAATCTTGGAGACTTTTTGCTGCCATCCTTAATCTTAACATTTTAAAAAAACAGGTGGTCATGTTGTTATTGAATTATCTCCAGATAATTAGCTGCTCCTAAAAGTCAAATGTTTTCCACAGGTAGTTACATTAAAAATAGTCCAAAATTAATGGTTATATTTCCACAAGGAATAGCTTTAATATAATGTGCTATTCTTTCTTACCTTAGAAACACTGCTAAATTCTAATTCTAAACAATCTCCCTATTGCAACATTTAAAGTCAAGATAGGCTTCACTTGCTCTGTACTGAAGTTCTGTTGAACTCGGTATAAGTAACCACTTTAGTTCATGGACTGTGCTGTTAATCTATAATATTATCTTTTATTTGTCTTTCCATCCAGGGCATGCTACAGGAGAAATATAAAAAGAATAGTTTCAGAGTTATATATTCGAGATAATTGTCACCCTTTCAAGACAACCCTGCTCATATGGGTACAAATTCCAATATGGGTCTTTGTTTCCATAGCTTTGCGTAACTTAAGTACTGGCAGAGGAGATTCTGAAGGTAACAGTTTTGTAGTACTACTTTAAATATATTGTGTTTTCTGAAAATCTTTTCTGTGATTTATGTTCTTAAAAGAAACATTTCAGACTTAAGATTTTTTTTAGCTTTGCCATTAAATATTTTTTATTCTGGGGATGATTACAGCAAGTATAATTAATTAAGCTGGTATACTGTTTGATTCGCAGTGACTAAGTAGTTCATAATAGCCAAATAAAGACATAATAAAATGGCAAATATGACAGATGGAATGAAGCAGGGAATCCTTCACTCCTTCATTCTCACCAAAACTTGGTGAAAAGCCAGGATGTCACCAGTCTTCTGAACAATAGTAGAGAGGTCCATCCAAATCTTTTGGGGGGGGGGCTCATTCCAGAGACAGAATAATGTAGAGAAAACATACTTCCTGAGTCCTTTTAAATGGAAGCTGGAGCATAGCAACTCTGCAAGATCAAAGTGGTCAGAGGCCACTTTGGGAGGAGGCAATCCCTCAGGAAACCAGACCTTATGCCAGTGATGGCGAACTTTTTAGAGACCAAGTGCCCAAACTGCAACCCAAAACCCACTTATGTATCATCAGGTGCCAGGTAGGCAAGGCCCATTGGCTGGGTGTGGCCAGTTGGCTGGGTGTGGCCAATTGGGCGGGCGTGGCTGCAGAGGTAGTGGCAGACTGGGTGGGACTAAAAAGTTCAATCAATCCCAACTTTGCGAGATCTTTTTTTTTTCGGTGAGAAGTTGAAATTGGTTGATTGAACCTTTTTTTTTTTTTTTTTTGCACACAGCAGTGGAGGCCCAAAGCGGAAAGATTTTATAAAACCCAGCTGAAGGCCTAGGACTGGGGTGACGGCGCGCGTGCCCAAAGAGAGGGCTCTGCGTGCCACCTGTGGCACGTGTGCCCTAGATTCGCCACCATGACCCTATGCCATATGGGTTTTATAGATAACAACCAGCACCTTGAATCGCTTTCAGAAGCAATCTGCCAACCAATGCAGGAGGTGTGAAGCAGAAATGTTACATGAGCATATTGAGAAATGCCATCACTGCTTCCACTGCTATATTTTGACAAGTTGAAGCTTTTGAGTGGTCTTCAGCGACAGCCCCATATACAGCGCATTGAAGTAGTTGAACCAGTAGTGCATGAGTGACTGTCTGAAGACGCCCAAGTCTAAAAAATTGCATAACAGGAACATCAGGTAAAGTTGTGCAAAGACCCTTCTAACTACAGCTATCACCTGTTCTTCATGCAGGACCTGGGAGTCCAGGCAGACTTCCAGGTTGTATACCAACATGGAAAAGCAAAATGGTATGCCTTCGAAAGACAAAGATGGAATATCCTGAGATCTGGTTAGTCCAAACACTCTTAGTCACTTGCTCTTGGTAGGATTGAGTTGGGGGTAGTTTCTTCTCCTCCAAACCTCTTCCAGACACTAGGATAGAATCTCACCAGCCTCACTTAACTGGCCTGGATATGTATTATTATATAATTGGGTATCATCAGCATATTGATTAAATCAATTAAATCTTTAAATGCTGATGGTGCTTAACCCAAACTGACAGATCACTTCACCAAATGGTTTTAGTGTATTTGTAAATTGTTGGTAGAATAAAAAAATTACTCTAAGAAAAAGAAGAGACTTTAAGATATGTAACATCTATATAGAATCAAGACCACATATAAATAAATTGCTACTAAAATAGTATATGAAGACTGAACAAGTCAAACATTGCATAATAAAATGGATGCAAAATTTTAAGACACAAATATAACAATACTAAAAAAATATGGAAAAAATAAAATTTATTCCAAACTATAATTTAAGGGAAAATTGTTATTAAATGCTTTACAGATGATATAAAACATTAACAGAAAAAGAGATAAATCATAGAACAAAAATAAACATTTTATACAGGTAGTCCTTGAGATATGACCCTCACTTAATCGCCATTTTAAGTTAAGACTCCTCCCCCCAAAAAACTACATATCCCGTTTTGAAGTTACAACTGCAGCACCCCGTGAACATTCATCCTTATGAATGGGAGGGATGCTGCAGGCCCTCCCATTCTTTCCCCACTAGGAACCCCATAGCACTTAGACTAGCTCCCCACATCTGTCATCCATTGTACATTTATTTTTTGAAAATATCTGGATCTCATGTTGGGCAAAGCCATTCATGCATGGGTTATGTAGCTGCCTCCCAAAAGCAGCTGCCATTGGCAGCTGGGCTCTTCCCCTCCACTGGGCTACTTTTAGCTTTGCAAAATTTTCTGCTTGTCTGCTTCTAGACCAACTAACAAGCTTCACAGGACCTCCTCTACCCATGAGGGATTCTATGTTTCACTTAATAACGTACATGTTCATTTATGGGCCCCATCAGGAAGAACAGATCATAGGGGTTGTTAAACAAAGCTGTCTAACTTAGCGCCCATCAATACGAGGTTTAATGGGCAGGCTTGATTACAGTCACAGATTGAGAACTATCTGTATGTTGGAATTAGATTAAAAAAAAAATCTCAAAAGTACTAAAAAGAAATATGGTAGTTCTCAACAACCATAACTCTGAACAACTATTCAAAGTTACAACATCATTGAAAAAAGTGACTTATAACCAATCCTTTCGTTTACAGCCATTGCAGCATCTGCTTGGTCATGTGATCAAGATTTAAGTGCTTGGTAATCAGCATGCATTTATAATAGTTGCAGCAACCTTATCACCATTTGTGACCTTCCCTGACAGTTTTCAACAAGCAAAGTCAGTGTGAGAAGCTGGATTCACTTACTGCATGATTCATTTAACAGCTGCAGTAATTTGCTAAACAACCATGGCAAAAATCATAAAATTGGGTACAATTCACTTAAAAATCAAGTGCAACTCACTTAAAATTCTGGTCCCAACTGTGGTCATAAGTCAAGAACTACATGCACACGATATTATATAAAAAAAATTCTAAAAGTAAAATTTAAAATGAATCCTCAAATATTTCTAGTAGATGTAGTTCTGAAATGTCTGAACAAAAAATATAAGAGATTATTAAGATATATGTTGAGAGCTGTAAAGATAAATCTGACACAACAGTGGAAAAAATACATTTTGTCAATGAGATGGGGAAACGAAACATGGAACAATGGCAATGGCAAAATTAGCTACTGGTAGTTCTTGACATACAACCATAATGGACAGTTATTTTGTGTTTCCTCCATTTGCGAATATTCACACTAATTGTTGTTACCTTCTCACTAAGCTGCTTGGCAATAGTCTTGTAACGCATTCCTGTGTAGGTCTACAGTCTTGTCCTGACATCCTTGGACAGCTCTTTGGTCTTGGCCATGGTGGAGAGTTTGGAAACTGATTGATTGATTGATTCTTTTTTTTTTCAGTTTCAAGTTTTTTATTAATTTTACAATATTACATTTACATATTTGAAAAGTAGTGTGGCTGAGCACAGTAATTCCGTTGCATTTGAATATCATCAGTACAAATCTCAAATTATTACAACAAACTAATTCCCTCTCTTTCCCCCATGATATTTACTGTCATGTTCAAACCAATACAGTTCTTATTCTATTAATCAAACAAAAAATACCTTTCTAATATTCATCAATAATCTTCAGTCTATACATATCTTAATTAATTTGACATTCCACCTTTTAGACAATAATCTAGTAAGTTTTTCTTAACTTTAATTTGCCATTGATATTTAAGTTTAACGTTTAATCTTTATCTTTTCCAGGTTTTAAATGATCCCAATTTCTAAGTCTCCTATCTCACACTTGGAGCTAATATTTTTTTTTCCTTTTCTTCCTTTCACTTCCTTTCTTCCTTTCCAGAAAGAGAAAAAAAATTAAAAATAAACCACCAACATTTATACCACAAACTCGTATACAAATTTAATAATTAGTACTTATACTTTTAAGTTTTACTTAACCTTTGTCTCAACTCATAACAATACCTTAAATTCAAATCTTAATTATTTGTAGACATTCAGATTACATTTAATATTTAATTTTTCCAAATTTTTAATTAAACACAATTCCTTTATCCCAATTGCTCATACATTCTAATATTTAAAATACACACCTTATATATGTGCTCCTGGCTACTTTCCTTCATGACCAGAGGCAAGCTCACCTGACCAATAACCAGCCAAGACACAGTGAAGGCCTTTTGTTTCGTTTATTGCAATAAGCGGGGAGAGAAGCTCTCAAAGCTTGGTTCTCTCCAAAGTTTTAACCCAAAATATCTCCTTTTATTCATCCCTCTCACCGGCCGCTACAACCCTCCTCTTTCCCCATTGGCTGAGGTAGTATGAGGTTACACTCTTTCCGTCCGCCTATACACATTTCCTGATAACATACTAAATCATATTCACTTATACAATAAGAATAAGAAAAATTATTTTCCTATGGTTATTTTTAAACTCAATATATTTATGTCTCCACAATAAGCTCTTTTCCTGCTTTTCTATTCATTGTGTCTCTCTTCTTATCTTATTTGGCATGGTTTCCTGCTTTCCTATACTTTCTGGCTAGCCATTTCCTAAAAAAAAAACAACTATTTATCTATTTTATTACTTTCCTCTTCCTTTCTCAGACCCAACTATTTTTGCCTATATGGTTATCTCACTTCTTTAATGTTATCTCTTTCTGACTCTCACCATCTGTATTTTTTTCTATTAGTTTCTATTGTATTGTATTTTTAACTGACTGAAGATTTATCATATTGATGTATATTTATCAATCCCCCCTGTATTTCTGTATACTCTGATGAATCTTCATTTTTGGCTATATTAGATAACATAAATTGAATCTGTACATCTTCTCCAGAGATGTTTTTCGCTACTGACCCCAATGTTTTAGTGCAAAATGAAATACAGCAGGGTAAACATTGGAGACAAACACAACACATAATATCTATCACAACTATAAACACTAGTCCTATAAATATTTGTTTTAACCATCCAAAATTGGGAAGCCAATTTGTTAACCAACTCCAATCACCCCACAT